GACGACGGGCGAGATGATCGCGGTCAAGCAGGTCGAGCTGCCGCGTACGGCGAGCGACCGCGAGGACTCGCGCCAGAAGGGCGTCGTCGCGGCACTCAAGTCCGAGATCGAGACGCTCAAGGATCTGGACCACCCGCACATCGTGTCGTACCTCGGCTTCGAGGAGACGACGACGTTCCTGAGCATTTTTCTCGAGTACGTGCCCGGTGGGTCGGTGGGCAGCTGTCTGCGCAAGCACGGCAAGTTTGAAGAGCCGACGATCAAGTCGTTCCTGCACCAGATCCTCGACGGCCTGGCGTACCTGCACAGCAAGGGCATCCTGCACCGCGACCTCAAGGCGGACAACATCCTGGTCGACTTTGAGGGCATCTGCAAGATCTCGGATTTCGGAACGGTGCGGAGGTCCGACGACATCTACGGCAATGTGGAGAACATGTCGCTGCAGGGCTCGATCTTTTGGATGGCCCCCGAGGTCGTCTCGCTGTCCAAGAAGGGCTACTCGGCCAAGATCGACATCTGGTCGCTGGGGTGTGTGGTGCTCGAGATGTTTGCCGGCAGACGGCCGTGGAGCGACGACGAGGCGGTGCAGGCCATGTTCAAGATCGGCGCGGAGCGCAAGGCGCCTCCGATCCCGGCGGATGTCAAGCTGAGCAAACAGGCGGCTCACTTTTTGAAGAACTGCTTCGAGGTGGATCCGGCAAAACGGCCGACGGCGCAAAGGTTGCTGGATCACGTCTTTTCCGTGCCGGACGAGAGCTGGCACTTCCAGCAGAGCGCCCTGTGGCGATCGCTTCAAAGATGATCACGGGCTTGATTTTAATGATACCATGACAGCTGCAAGCGGCTCGTCTTTCGAACACCGGTGGGTGGGTGCGCGATGCGTGTGTGGCGAAAAGGGAATGCGAGTGGCGCGTCGAAGATCGTCAAGCTGATGCCGGGGGCATCGTTGCAGACAAGACGTGGTGCGGCCCTCGCTTTCCTCGGCTGGCAGCGTGATGGCAAAAGAATGATGGTGTTGGCCGACAACAAGGGAGGGGAAAACGGGTGCGAGTGGCGCTCGCTCTAGCGTTGATCCCTGAACCCCCACCCCCTAGCAGCTTTTTTTATGATACCATGACAGCGGCTGTGATCGGCTTGCACTGTTCTCCGTTGGCATTTGGGGTTGCGCAAAAGGGAAGTCTACCGCGTTTGCTCGCTCGGGATCTCGCTCCAAGGTTGACATGGTGTGCCGGCAGGTCGAGCGGGGCTCTCTTGCTGACGTTCGCCGCAGTAAGTTGGCGCGGCGTGAGACGCAGAGGGCGAGAGAGTCAAAGGGACTCTGCGGTCGCTTCAGCGCTCGACCCGTTTCCGAATATCAGCCGATTCGCTGCAGTATGAGCGGCCTGCTTTTTTGCCTCGTGGCAAAGTATGCACGGGCAAGCACATGCCGCCAAGAAGGGCTTGAGCTGGCCGAGATCGGAGAGGGGCGGCTTTCCTTTTCTCTTCCCTAGTAGGCGTTGTGTGTGTGCGACGTGAACCACACGCGGCCAACAATGTCTGCTCGAATACAGGCGATTTGTGCGAGGGCCATGAGCTGCGAGTGGCGGTGAAGCTATTTGGATGATAACACACCAGCAAAGTGGCTGGACACTTGACGTTTGCTGCTTGGATGGAAGCTAGCACGTTCTCAGGCTATGCCTTGTCCATTCGGTCCTAGTCCATACGATGCTTCTCAGCCGCTTTGAGCACGGCGTGTTGTCCGCGTAGACAGAGCATTGCCAGTCAAGCAGCCAACATTGCTTGGCCAAGCATCTTCAAGCAACGCCCGCATACGTGCCTCTGCCCTGCCCCTGTCACCATTCACACCGCTTGTCCTGGCCTTTTTGGTAAAGCGCGGTGAGCAGCCACCCTATGGCCTGTCGTGCAGAGGATGACTTGTGCCACAAATTGCGCGAGGCTTCTGCGGTGGCGGCTTGACCTGGTCTTCCGCTTTCTCTTCCCCCTGGTCCTGGACTGCGGTCTGCTTCCACCTAGACCTCCCCTCGACGCCTGAACGCAGTGCCTTTCACTTCTCACCAATGTCGTTATGTATGGGACGTGAAAGAATGCCGCTAGAAAAGCTTGTGCTCGCCGATACCAAGCGAGGAAACTCAGCAGAGCTCGAGCATAGCATTCCAGCCAAGTAGCAGTGCCGCTTGTCTGGCTCCCCACCGTCTGGGTGTGCGCGAAAGCTGCAAGTGCATCAGACACAGTGGGCGATGCACAGGTGTGTGGCAGCTCGGAACACGCTCTGCGGTCGTTCCAGCAACGAACTGGAATGATGCCATTTGGCTGCCATGTGCGGCTTGTCTTTTGCCTCACCAGCAATGCATGCGCAAGCTTGACGTGTGTGTGAGATTACTGCGGTCTGGTGGGCTTTCGACGCCCCTATAGCGACGACGTGTTGCCAATTGCGCCACCCCACAGCGGGCATGTTTTGGCAATCGCATGTTGTCGGCAAGATGGTATAGCTCTTCGCTCGAAACGTGACAAAGATCGATCGCCAACTTGCCCATCGGCATCCGGCCACCAACAAGCAATGTACCGCTTTACTTGCACTCAACCAGCAAAACATGGCCGAACAGGCATTCGTGATGCACCAAGGTGGGTGGGTAGGTGGTTGTGTGGCTTGCACGGCCCGCACGCTTCGGACGCTGCGAGCGCGCGAAAGCCTCGCTCAGCAACGGTGTGATCAGACGTGCTCTCGATGAACGTTTCACACTACCAAGTGGTGCATGGCTTTGCACGTGCAACTTTGCACCGCAGAACGCATGCGCACACGTCAGACGAGAACAGGCCTTGGTGAGGTGCAGTCGTTCTTCTCGGTCTCGCAGTCGTGCACCGCGGCATCAACTTTGCACGAATGCACCTGCGCATACCATTGTAACGCATCTGCGCAACATCGTCCAGGCCCTGTTCATCGTGAAATGACCATTCGCGCGAGGCATGCCATGAGCTTGGTCATCTGCAACACGTCATTCACACTCGTCAAAGCAGTTGGCCGATCAACCTGCATTCTATTCTCGTTGTGATTCTTGGTCTGGCTCCTGCGCGTCACGTACACAGCGTCTCAGCTGCATAAAGTGTGTCCACACCGATGTCGTCGCACCCACATTGGGTCCAGTCGTATCACTGTAGCACGCCGCTCCAGACCAACCCAGCTCATCCTCAGGCCGGTTTGGGTGCCACAGAAGCTTTGTGTCGCTAGCTGATGCTAAGCAATTTGACTTCAAGCTGCCAGAGGATCTTTGTCAACATTGAGGAAAAAGAGCTACACCATCTGGCAGGCAGCATGCCTTTGAAGGATATGGCCATCTGCGGCTGGAAAGACGATCGCAGACGCGTCGACAGTGAAGCTGCGTCATACCTACAACAGACACGTACCTGTAGCATGTCGCTCCAAACCCTTCCGTTGGCGTCGGGCTTTCCGAGTGGCTCCATCTTGGAGCCAAGCTAGATTTGGCAGGTTTTGGCGCTGTAGACGAAAGCCAGCACGCGATCAGCACGAGCGGCGCCACTCGATCGGCGTCCCAAAAGAAAGCCAGAAATGCTCAGCCCAGCCTGTCGGCACATCCCGACGTGCTCAGTGTACAAGAAGCTCGGCCCGAACCCGCTTCTCACGCCTCACTGCTCACACCCTTTCGCATCGCACTCTGCAGCACACACGAAAGTACAGAAAACGAGCCGTTTATTTGACAGACCAAGAAAGGGAGAGGCGGAAGAGACACGATCGACGGCAACCACGCGCCGCTCAGCTCGTGCGCGGCGCAGGCCAACTCGAGCAAGCAAATTAAAGAAAGACGTTCTTGCTGTCGAGGATCGTGCCACTCTCCACCTCGGTGGTGTGATCGTTCGTGATGTAGTTGACGTTGATGGTTGTGTTGATGTTCATGTGATTGTGGGAGAGAGGAGATTTTGTTGAGGCTCGTGGCAGTGATTGGCGGATGACGAGCTGCGCCCCCCTTCATGCTGAATAGAGCTCGCGGGAGAACGACAGGGTAAAATGCAGGAGAAAGATGCAGGAGTTGGAAGCCGGAACCCTTTTTTTTTGCGCAGAGAGCTTACCGCATGTTGGATGCAGTTCAGCTCTACTCGTGGTGAAGGCCGTTGCCCGAGCCGACGCCCATCAGCATGTTGCCAGACATCGAAGGCATGGCAGCAGTGCGCTGTGGCATCGCCTTGTTCTTCTTGGCCATGCGATCAGCCGACGTGTCGGGGCTGTTCGAGTCGTCGCCCTCGAGCTTGTAGCCGGTGGACGCGCCGCTTCCGCTTCGCTGCATGTCGCGGTCCGAAGGCGAGGCGGTGGCAGAACCGTTGAGGTCCTCGGCGTCGTTCCACGAGCGCTTGAGGCCCGACACCTTGCGTGCGCCGTTGATCAGGCCTCCGTTGGCAGTAGCAGCACCCAGGTTGGCAGCGCCGTACGCGTTGTCACCCGCATGTCCGTTGACGTTGTTGAGCGAGATGGGCGCCGACTGGCGTCGATCGCCGACACCGGGACGCGCGAGCTGCTGTGCCTGAGTGATCGGGTACTGCTGCTGCTGCTGTTGCTGCGAATAGGTGGGCGACGAGGTGCCGTGGCTCGAGAGGCTCATGTGCATCTGAGTGGCGCCGTTGTGCATCGACGAGGGCGAGGGCTGAGTCGTGGTGGGAGCCGAGGCGGGGCCCTGGTCGTGCGAGCCAGTCCAGCTCGTGCTGCTGCTCAGCCCGCTACCAAACCCCGACGTGTCACCGTTGGAAGGGGTGGTGTTGGCTCGCATCAGAGGAGGCGCCTGGGAAGCGCCGTTGGCACCAGGGCTCGGAAGGCCCGGAGCGCGCTGTCGCTGGGCCTGGCGCTCCTGAGCGGCGGCAATCACGGCCGCGGTGCGCGGGTAGTTGTCCGGGTGGTAGAGGAACGACTGAATGTTGGGCTCAAAGAGCGGGTAGAGCGCGTCGGCAATGCCGTTCTGCTCGGCGAGCTGCTTGGCACGCGCAAACGAGATCCAGACACCTTTGAGGTGCATGGCGCCGACCTTGACGACGATGCGCTCCTTCTCGTTCTTGAGGATGCCGTCACGCTTGCCGCGCGACATGCCGCACACGTTCAAGAGCTTGGTGCCGTTGATCATGTTGTTGTCGTGCCTTCGGGCCACGCATACGCCGCGAGCGTCCACCTGGAAGCAGAGCGTACCCTCGTCCTCCCACAGGGTTGTGGTGACACGGTGTCGGCCGGCGAGGGGCAGCTGGGTCGAGTACTGGGGCGCCGAGGTGTACGAGGGCGACGAGAGGTGAGTGGAGCCGTTGAGGTGGCTGTGGGAGCCGTCACCGTTCATAAAGTAGGCGGACGAGTGACTATGAGTGTGGGTGGGCGTGTGCGATCCGAGATGGTGGCTGCCGTATCCGTAGCCAGCGTGCTGGCCGTGGTGCATCATCATGCCGTTGACACCGGTGTGGTAGGTGGTGCCGTTGGCCGCAGGGGTGGTCGGGGCAGTGGCGACGTGGTGGGTGGTGCCGTTGGTGTAGCCGTAGCCGCTGGNCCGGTGTGGTAGGTGGTGCCGTTGGCCGCAGGGGTGGTCGGGGCAGTGGCGACGTGGTGGGTGGTGCCGTTGGTGTAGCCGTAGCCGCTGGCGTACTGCGAGTAGGCGTTGTGGCCGTAGGGGCTAGGGCTGCCTCCGTACACGGGAGCCGAGGGGTATCCGTAGGGGGACCAGCTCGAGCTGTGTCCGCCGCCGTTGACGGGGCTAGCCAGAGCGCCGTGCGAGTGAGCATGGTGACCCGAGTGGTGGTGGTGGGTGTTGTGGTGAGCGT